TCGCCATGTGCGATCTATAAATAAAAACAAATATAGTTTCCTTTGCCGTTGTACTGGCCAATTATTTTTATCGCGCTCCCAACGTCAGATGTATCGGGCTTCTAGTGCGATCTCGCTCACTTCACTTAATATCCTCTTGCGGTATAACCTCCTGGTACCTCTTACAACATAACTTACATGACTACGTGCTTGTGTAATGGGAATGCGCTCTTCCTAATTTTATTTATTTATTTTTTCTATTTATTTAATTTTACATTTATTATTTTCTTAACCTCTTTATCTCTTCAATACTCATTGCAATTTCGCTTCAACTTGTTTGTTCGATTTTCAGTTGCAATAATAAATTTTCAGTTTAAATTTTGTAGGCCATTTTAACATTATTAGGAGATCAGGAGCGGGTAATTCTGTTGTGGTGTGCATGAAGGATGTGGTTAAACATATATTTTGTCCACATCCCAACAGATACAAAGAAACCTTACGAGTAGTATACACATAAAAACTGTTCATATTTTTTCACATAAAAATATCGTTACGCGAAGACCTTATTACATGAAAGCGTGAAATTGTTAAAGATGTTATTCTATTTTTTATAATTGATTTATACATATAAAAGCTTTCGCACGACCATTTACGAAACATCACAATGGCAAAAATTAAATAAAACACTAAGATACTATTTCAAAAACATTGTTACCTTCATGATGTTTGACAACGTATACCTTCGGTGTTATGAACAGACAATGTGCAATAATCTACGCTTTTTTTCACACTGCAATGCACGTCTCGGTAAACATTTGTGATGGGTCGACGTGCCGATGTTGCCGCGCAAACACTCGACGTCATGTTTGCTCTAGCATGCGTACATTCTATTTTCATAGTGAACATAAATCTTGACGAACTAAGATATAAGGAATAGCCTTAAATGAATCTTGATTTTTCTTAATAACCAAATATTCAAGAAATTTTTGCGACTCTTTGAACTTAAATAGGTACTGTTATAACAAATTATCTGTTATGAAATGAAATTATCCTTATTTGAAACATAAAAATATTACAAGTATCAGATAAGGCTTGAAAATATTTTGTTCCCTTAGCGTAGGAAAAACTTAATCGCTCTGTCACAGTCACTCCTATGTTATGTTCGGAGATAGCTAGCTCTCTTTACAACAGTTCTCTTATCAGTTATGTTACCCTAGTAATAAGGAACGGCAATGATGACGTAAGTTCGTCCTTTGTTTTCCCCAAACTATATTGTTGTTGAGAGATAAAAATTATGATTATAAAAAAGAAAAATATTATAAATAAGAAATATATTATAAATAAAAAGAAAGCTGTGATTTAGGGAAAAAAATAAACAGTTATGGGGACTACCGACAGTAACGGAAGAACAATTAATTGCCCAGCGTGCCTGTAGAAAGAAGTTTTCACTTCAAATGAATCATTGACATACTAGTTGAATGTTGAAATTGCCGTGATTTCACATTTTTCGCTTTACAGTGGATAAGATAAAGAATTAATATATAACGGTAGCCAGAGACTCGTGTACAATATAATGCATTTACGGGCATATTTTCCACTTTCTAGTCCACGCGTCCTCTGGCAAAACGAGAGTCGTAAAGTTTGTTTGAATGGCAACCATTGCCTCTTCCGTTTCGTAAGATGCGAGTATAGTTTCACATTCACTATTTCAGTGTAAGTTTAGCTTACTACTTAGTAATAGTTTCGTACAACTATTTCGTTGAAACTAGTAACGTATATATAGTATACGAATGTTTGTAATATTTAAATACCGTTTACTTATTTGAATTAATGATTTTTAACAGCGATTAATCTAAAACATTAGATGTAGAGTTTTGTTAGAAGCCACGCTTAGCCTGGGAATCACCTACGACGCTTGATTTTTATCGACTTTTATTGTTTTCGAAATCAAGAAAGGTGACATCTAGTTTTTGTTATATCTATACAAGGTGTAAATGATTGTAAAATTATGCATAATCTATTTATCACATCCGACTGAGACTATTCCTCAGCAATTAACTTCTTTTTTCGTTTTTCAAAAAGTACAGCTTTATTAAAAATATGCTTTATTTTTGTTTATTTGTGCTCAGATTTATTAAATGTCTACTAAATTCCCGTAAAATCGATGTTTTATGAAATAAAAACATCTGTATAAATACTGTCTTTATATTTTATTTTATTAGATTTTAATGTTTTTATAACCTCAGCATTGGTGCAGAAGCAAAAGTGAAAAAGTCCCCATTGAATTTATTTTATTCTCCGACCAAGTGACCCATAGATATATCTTTCTGATTTCGTTTGCACGCGTTATTGCTTTTACCTATTAGTGATGAAATGAAAGTTAATCATGTAATTTAATTTAAGGGCCACTGTCAAATAGAGTTGGGTGGGTTACTTTTAGACTATGTTTACCAAAACAGCGATAGCGTTACAATGAATCTTGATTTTATACAATAAATTTTATATATTGTCTAACTATCTAGTCAATTTGTTTTTAAAGCTAAAGTAATTTTAAACCAAACCATTTTGATGTAAACACTTACGTTATACTTTATATTGATTGTTTTACACTACGGCGAATAATAGGTCCAACACCTTTTATATGACTTTACTTGGTCTTGCAAACGTCTAAAATAGCGAACTTGTTTCTTCATTGGTCCTTTTTGTACCTTAAATTGTCGTTTCGTTGTAGTTTGTACTGACGACGAATTCAGTAATCAATTTGAAAATTTCCTTATCTTACTAAATATAAAAATCACAAAGTAAATTACTTAAATTCTTAATGTCAGAACCTCAAAATGTTTAAAACGACTTTGAAAATAGTTCTCAAGACATTTTATGGCATATATGACATTTATTTACTTTTTACTTTAATATTGATATTTTACTTTATTGATGTTCTGTACTTTTTTATCGTCTATCCTTGCTGTATCGATTCAATCCTTATTTGGCGCCTTTTTGCTTTGCGTCGGATTACAACTCTACGTAACCTACCTAGCTACTACACGTCACGATGCGGCGTCACGTTTCTCGGTCGACATTGCTTTTTCTGCTGTCCCTTTCGCACAATTGACAGAATTGAGGCGCCATCTCCTATGCATTTCTATCCTCCTGGTAGTTAGCGGGCGTTGGTGCGGCGCATGCCCGCGCCGCGCACACATGCGCACAAACAACATGTAGGTTTCGGAATAACCGTTGACGGGGGATGTTTTTACCTTTCTATAAAACTTTTTCATATGCCTTTAAATAGTATATTATTTACATTTAACTTAACTTTAACTTTATAAACTTTATTTGGTATATTGATTATCATATGAACAAGATCATTTAATACGAAAAGTTTTCACATCCTACATGATTTGGTAAAAATAATTAATTCCTAGTTAATGTCAGGAGCTTTTATGAAATAAAATCGTTCAATTAAAAATGAAACCGTTAATTGAGGACCCGTTTTTGTGGTTTCAAACAAGAATACCAGAGCTAACCGCGTCAAAGTTAATTATGTTAAATAACTGTAGTTAAACCGCAAGAACACAACGGGAATAATCAATCCTGTATGAAGTACTATTAAGTTAATATACAAAAGCTTACTCTTATTTTGAACAGAGAATCCCGAAAAATTTGGCAGAGCTTTGTTTTGTTACCAGTTCCTGCTGTTGGCACGAAGTTAACTGAGCTATTCTCCTCTAGTACATTAGGTGATAATTTTTGTTGCATGTTGATAAAAAAATCAGCATTTTTAATTTCTCTTAGCGATTGATAAGTTGTAGGCTTTATTTACGTCTCACAACGTAAAATTAAATAATATAAAAGTTTTGATCTTAATTCAAAATTCTAGTTGAAATCAGTGAAACAACTCAAAATGTTTTGATGTACCTACTTGTAATTTAATCATTATATTCATTTCGTCCAAAATGGTTCAGATGATGCTGATGTTCGATCGTGCTTGGTTAATTTCAGCGCACATGGTACCTTGTCTTTTAGGTTTTAATTCTGCACTAGGCGCGATTGATCATTGAGATATATATAGATACAGATACACGAGCGTAATAACGTACTTACTATCTTTATCAGATAACAAATATGATCATGTTTTATGTAGAAAATACAGATAAAATTTTTACTTCCCTTAGTCATTTCCTGAGAAACAAAAGCCTACCTAACCTTTTATCAATAAACATAGCACGTCAATATTTAAAGATTTTAAATAGCTGACGAGCCGCTTTGGTTGCCCATTTTTATCAATAAAACCATTGTGCATGGCTGAATATGTGCTTCCGTTATAACTATCGAAATATCAGTTTCATTTGGCATGCCAATAAGCTAAATGAATTAATAATTCACGAAGCTGATGTTTTTTTTATTTTTTTATGGAAAAAGAGACATGGAGACATGTTTAAAGTTTTATACCTACATTGTGAAATCTGAAAACTGTGTTTATACGGTTTTAATTTTTTTTCTGCTTTTTTAATGTTACCTTCTTAATAATGATTTAATTTTACTGAATTAAAAAAAGAATCGTTGATGGCAAAAAGAAATATTAATTCACTACCGAAATGTTATGATAGTTCTTAATATATTAATACAGCGTTTAAAATAATCCCAACGAAACGATCAAACGATCAATCGGAACGGGAGAAACATTTATTTTAACGTTCCAATGGTGATAAATTATCTTTTTACGCGAATGTCTCATTCTTGTATCATCTCAATAAAGCCGAGCGCAGATTGCTAGACCGTAACTTTTTAATCAGTCCCGAAACAAGCGTTTTATGTTGTTTTAGCTGACACGCGACCGAATATTTCGGTGTTTTATGTGCATCTGTCAAAACAGCGGGGCATACGGCGGGCCGTCGTTACGCAAGGCGTAAAGACAGCCGATGCGCTTCGCTCACCTAGATATCCCGCTCTAAAAGGTGTAATTGTTTCCGGAAACATACCGGGGCCCGCTGCGCGGTGAATTAGCGAAGTTAGTGCGCTGTATGCATTCGGCCATAATTGATAGGGAAATAGAGCGTGCTCTCGACGATTTTACGACACCTGGCGAAGGCATCACGGCCGTGGGTAAGGTCAACAGATCGCGTGGGACGTACCACGGCGGCTGGTCCGTTGTAAACTTTCTTCGTTCCCCTCGCCCCGCGCCCGTGACTATTCCAACGCATTGCCGTACGATGTAATTGTCAGAAATCATTGACTCCGACATTGTGATTCGGCTTTTCCTTTTCGATAACGAGCTTCAATTGAATATGTGCGTTTCGAATTGGAATTATAATAGTGAACAAAATCTATTCGTAGACGTTTTTACGCTTGTTTTGCCGAATGTTTGAATTAAAACCGATGTATCAGGCAAGGCTGGACGATCATTTCATTGAAATTTAGGACTGTATCTTCAATCGGGAGACAATGACCCGGCCTCATGTTAGCGCATTTATAGACAATCGTACATTTTGTTATCTATATTTTCGCTTTATTCGTACAAACATTAATCGCTTTTGAAGTGTACTTTAGCAAATTAGAGTGATTGAACTTTATGCACTTTATATTAGCTTTACACATTCTGATTTGCTCAAGGTGCTTCTAGCACGTTGCTCTGTTTAAATTATCGTCTAGTAAATGTTTTCTAAATAGGATAACAGCAACGCCACCTTTTAACTCTAAAACTGCTCGACTAGTTTCAAAGGTTAAATTAGACTTTTCAGATATTACTTTAATAATAGTAATTGACCGTTTGATCGTGGATTATTTATGAAGAAAATTAAACTCTTGGTCAAAATAATTATGTTAAGTACTATATTTAATGCAAAAGTGGCTCAGGATCCGTACTTTGTGGCATCTGTGGGAGCGGCCTACGTTCAGGAATGATGATGAATACATTTTATAATTACATCATAGGAAATGCACTTAATTAACATTCTTATCCGTCTGTACGTATCCGAAAGAATTATGTTGATGCAATGTATTCAGTTTTTGTCATTTGTGGCAATTTTTTATACCCTGTCTTCGAACGCAGGGACTAATGATGAATAGTCAGAATGGAGCAATCCCCATGACGTTAAACTATGATGAACTAAGATAAATAAAATAAACTATGATAAATCGATTCATTTTTATTTGATCTGTTTCGTGAATGCTGTAGGATATACAGACTATTTACTCGGAGTTCACCGTGCATTTTACTGCGCTTCCCGCCTACCGTGAACCGAGTTTGGCATGCGTCTGCGCGCGTACAGGTCGACGTTCCTAATTTTTTATTTTTTATTTATGCGCACGTGCGTCGATAATGTGATGTTTGCGCCGGTGGAATTAATTGGAGCCGGAATATGCCTTCTGCGTCCCTAACCATCGGGAAGACATTTTGCGAATGGCTTCCCATTGAATAAGGTCAATGAACTTTCAGTTTTAGCTTTTAGAACATTTTCATTATAATAGATATAGGTTGAGTATAAATTTTAAAGTTTTTTAAAGTGCTAATCTCTGCACTTAAGATTGGACATTAAAACATGTAGAAAAAGTACGAAAAGATTGTCGCCGCTGTGGGAATCGAACCCACGTCTTCGGCATTCGCGGCCTGACGCTCTAGCCACTGAGCTAAACGGCTGATAGCCACAGCGACGAAAATCTTAACGCCTTCTTTCTACATTGTTATTTAGCATTTGAAGCAATGCTTGGCGCATCTATTGTTATATCCTTTCCAGCATACAAACAATTTCGAATATCGTTTTACAACGATAATTCGAACGAGAGATGTCGCCATTGCTTTTTATAAATTTTAAAGTTTTTTAAAGTGCTAATCTCTGCACTTAAGATTGGACATTAAAACATGTAGAAAAAGTACGAAAAGATTGTCGCCGCTGTGGGAATCGAACCCACGTCTTCGGCATTCGCGGCCTGACGCTCTAGCCACTGAGCTAAACGGCTGATAGCCACAGCGACGAAAATCTTAACGCCTTCTTTCTACATTGTTATTTAGCATTTGAAGCAATGCTTGGCGCATCTATTGTTATATCCTTTCCAGCATACAAACAATTTCGAATATCGTTTTACAACGATAATTCGAACGAGAGATGTCGCCATTGCTTTTTATAAATTTTAAAGTTTTTTAAAGTGCTAATCTCTGCACTTAAGATTGGACATTAAAACATGTAGAAAAAGTACGAAAAGATTGTCGCCGCTGTGGGAATCGAACCCACGTCTTCGGCATTCGCGGCCTGACGCTCTAGCCACTGAGCTAAACGGCTGATAGCCACAGCGACGAAAATCTTAACGCCTTCTTTCTACATTGTTATTTAGCATTTGAAGCAATGCTTGGCGCATCTATTGTTATATCCTTTCCAGCATACAAACAATTTCGAATATCGTTTTATGCTGGAAAGGATATAACAATAGATGCGCCAAGCATTGCTTCAAATGCTAAATAACAATGTAGAAAGAAGGCGTTAAGATTTTCGTCGCTGTGGCTATCAGCCGTTTAGCTCAGTGGCTAGAGCGTCAGGCCGCGAATGCCGAAGACGTGGGTTCGATTCCCACAGCGGCGACAATCTTTTCGTACTTTTTCTACATGTTTTAATGTCCAATCTTAAGTGCAGAGATTAGCACTTTAAAAAACTTTAAAATTTATAAAAAGCAATGGCGACATCTCTCGTTCGAATTATCGTTGTAAAACGATATTCGAAATTGTTTGTATGCTGGAAAGGATATAACAATAGATGCGCCAAGCATTGCTTCAAATGCTAAATAACAATGTAGAAAGAAGGCGTTAAGATTTTCGTCGCTGTGGCTATCAGCCGTTTAGCTCAGTGGCTAGAGCGTCAGGCCGCGAATGCCGAAGACGTGGGTTCGATTCCCACAGCGGCGACAATCTTTTCGTACTTTTTCTACATGTTTTAATGTTCAATCTTAAGTGCAGAGATTAGCACTTTAAAAAAACTTTAAAATTTATAAAAAGCAATGGCGACATCTCTCGTTCGAATTATCGTTGTAAAACGATATTCGAAATTGTTTGTATGCTGGAAAGGATATAACAATAGATGCGCCAAGCATTGCTTCAAATGCTAAATAACAATGTAGAAAGAAGGCGTTAAGATTTTCGTCGCTGTGGCTATCAGCCGTTTAGCTCAGTGGCTAGAGCGTCAGGCCGCGAATGCCGAAGACGTGGGTTCGATTCCCACAGCGGCGACAATCTTTTCGTACTTTTTCTACATGTTTTAATGTCCAATCTTAAGTGCAGAGATTAGCACTTTAAAAAACTTTAAAATTTATAAAAAGCAATGGCGACATCTCTCGTTCGAATTATCGTTGTAAAACGATATTCGAAATTGTTTGTATGCTGGAAAGGATATAACAATAGATGCGCCAAGCATTGCTTCAAATGCTAAATAACAATGTAGAAAGAAGGCGTTAAGATTTTCGTCGCTGTGGCTATCAGCCGTTTAGCTCAGTGGCTAGAGCGTCAGGCCGCGAATGCCGAAGACGTGGGTTCGATTCCCACAGCGGCGACAATCTTTTCGTACTTTTTCTACATGTTTTAATAGGTTGAGTATAGTTTAAGAAAAACTACAATAAATGGTAAATGTTAAATACGGTACATTGAATAGAAATCGCACAAGTGAATTCCAAAGAGAATGTAATCACTACGTTTTTTGGTGAATTCCTTCGTAAAAGCAACCCTGGCAACAAGAAAGCCATGTTCGTTTCTGTGACATATGCTGAACGCAAAACGTGACATTTCTCTCTTTATTATAATAATAATTATATTTAGAAACACCACCTAGGTATAAGATAATTTGTTTGTTTCGGTATAAGAAGTAAGTACGTATAGATAAAATTTTATTCCCTTTCATGTTGATCTTACTATACAAAGAAAACAACCAGCTTAAAAATCAATCAATACATATAAAACATTTATGTCGTTTTGCGTATGCTATTTAGAGCCAAAGTTTTAAAATTATATTTCTATTGTAATCCATTATATAAACCCGTTATTCAACTAAATGGAGCCCTGCGTAATGGATTCCTGATGTAATTTTGTACAGTAGCTGCCCTAAAATTTTACGTATGAAACATTCCACATTGCGTGTATATGTTTCAGCACTTCCTGAAAGTTATTCATAATTCTTCACAATGAACCGCGCGGAGAATAGGGTTGGCAATAATAGCGCGCAAGCGCGGTGGAAGCGTTGGCAGCCCTAAAAGCATTTACCTGGGCTATTTTATTTGCCAGAAAATATTATCATAAAATACATACATATATTTCCAATTTAAGCCTTATTTTCGGACTTCCGGGGGACTTCCTCGCAACATTAGAACCTTCTGCAGGGCTCTTCCTAGTCTATAGTAATCATCTATAGTAATCGGCAAATCTTTATATTTATGGATGTTTGAATTGGCTATGGTTCCGTTGCATCGTGAGGTCAACGGTCCACAAACTTCTAAGTATTTGTTTTATCCGTGAATTTGCCTCATAGATGATGAGTAATTGTTAAGTAATTTATTTTAAAATGGGATGATACTTAAATAATATTTAGACTGTGACAACTAAAAGTACAATAATATTGCCGAAATTAATAAGTAATTATTCCTATAATTTACATCATTATCCACAGTCCACTGTTAATATATAATATACTGCAAATATACCTCACTCCTTGCCCAATCTGATACGTTATTAGAGCTAGTAATTAGAGTTATGCTTAGTTCTAATTAAGCGTCAGCCATCAGCAAAAGTAGTATTTTTCTTAAACCGCACGTGCAGCAACCCTGACTACGAAATCTTGTAATGAATCAACAATCTCGCACGCTGACGGCTGTTTCTCAATATAATTAACGTAGAAAATGGTTTACAGCTCAAATAGTTTTTACCGGACTGTTCGACGGTTGCGGGAAAGATAATGTAAGAAAGTAAGATAAAGACATTAAGTCTACTTAGAAAACCTTGAACTCCTTTTTTAGATCGTTCCTTATTATTTACGGGTACCACAGCCTAATGGCAAAATCGACGTTTATAAGAATACTAGCGACCTGCCCCGAAAATAAACTAACAATGCATATAAACCTTCCTCTTGATTCACTCTATCTAGTAAAACTGCATCAAGATCCGTTGCGTAGTTTTAAAGATCTAAGCATACATAGGGACAGACAGACATCGGGACTACTTTGTTTTATACTATGTAGTGACTATTTTCTTCTTTCTCCAGTCCGTATCCCACCAAAGTGGAGTCGGCATAATATGTGAATCATGTTGATGGTATTGGTTGCGTTTTTTAAGACCGGCCCGCCTTTCCTAATAACACTTGGGAATAAACACTTGGATCTGGTACAATATCTGTAGGTCACACAAGTATTTGTAAGGTGTGGGAATGTAGCTCCCGACCAAAGAAAGGTTTGCAATGATAACATTTTAACGTGTAAACATCATATAATATAAATGTATATATATATATTATATATGTACTATATGTGTATGTCATATGATAATTCGTATGGATTTCTCTAAGCAGAAGCCACGGGTTAATCGGAAAACTTGCTTCAAATTATATACGGTCGTCAAGTAGTTTAAGTAGTTTCTTAAATCTTAGACTTTCAGTAAATCTTAATGATAAACCTAAGGTTAATATTACTAGATAGAATTGATTGTGTGTGAACGTGATTATTAAATGTTAGAAATAACGGAGGAGCACTATAGTCATATGCCGTTTCTCCAGAGCTGGGCAATTTTGTGAAAATTTTCAAGTACAGCAAACCCTTTGCTGAAGTCACAGACGGATGATACCATAGCTCTCTATGGTAACATCCGTATAGAACGTTTTGATCATCCATAGATAATGCATAACTTTTTAACTTTAATTGACACATATGTTGGATTTTGGAAATAAGATTAAAAAGGAAAATGATGAACATTGATGATTTTAAGTATTAAACTGACATATAGAATCTTTAAATTTTTGTATTTATATCCCATCTCCGATTATCCACACTTTTTAAATTCTTATTTAACATGTACTATGTAAAATTTTCTCATAGTTAAGTGAATATTGTAATATTCTTTTTTGAGAATTAAACATTTCTTTGAACCTTAGCAATGGAGGTATACTTCCGGTTCTTGGTTTCTTGCTAAGCTATTTGCTGCAGCGACGTGGGTCTGGGAATCGACTCCTACCTGGAATAAGTACTTGTCTGAGTCATTAACGACAATTTAGTTTAAAAGCATGATGAAGTCTTTAGAAATAGTAGCCGTACTATAATTTTATGTAAACAATAATAAAAAATTATACTCATACGCTACAGATTTTTGCAACTTAATGTATCAACAATGTACTATTTCAGTTATGCCTTAGCAGTCAAATTATGCGAATCGGAAACGTGGATTTGAATCTCAGTGGGGTGCACCGATAAATTTTGTGTTTTTCGTATTTCTAACGGGAAACAAAGGCTCACGCCATGAAAATCTCGACGTATATTTATTGCATTCTTAGCAATTCTTGGTGCAATCTATGTCAATCGATTGACTTAAAGATTGATTTGCGCGCTGTCAATGTGTAGATAAAAGCGGTACCTACTAAAATCATATGGCGGTAGCGAATTTTCAAACAAAGAACTTTAGTCGTTCGTCTTTGTTTCGCACGCGATTGTTGCCAATGACGTAATTCGAGTCTGCGGCAGTTAGTGTTTATTTACATACATGGCGCCCAATTTTCAGAAGCGCCGGTCTAGACAAATCGCTCAGGGCTCTGAACAACTCGTTATGGCGTGCTAATTGGGCGATGACGCCGCACGTGTTGGATTACTACGTAGCCGTTGGTTCCAACACGGGACGATCTGGTGATGCGGCCTTGATTCCGATTTTTTAAAATATTTCCTTAATATGAGCACAGCGAAAACTTTGGAGCCTCACATGTACCTAATTTTTTTTTTTTGATATTAGATGACGAATGCGGTTCAACGTTAAACGTTCAGTTAAGGGCTTCGGTAAGGCTCGTGTAACAAACGAATTGGCAGGCCGAAAGTATTTGTGCTTTACGCCAAACTGCTCTGAGGTACTAGTACTTTTCCCAAGGAACGGGCCCACTCGTACAACATCGAAAGCTGCATGAGACAACCACAGAAAGAACTGGCCGTTGCTTAGGTCTCTTACAATCTGGTGGTTAATTGTCGTAGGCTTCGTGTTTATTCAGTAATCACCTGTCACTGTTCAAGTAATACCTGAACAATAATACACTATTCGAATGGAAATACGAACTTACGAAAGATATATGTAATACACTCCCTTAATACAATGTTGCTACTAACCAGGCATTGCAATGAATGCGGTAGTACCCACTATACATGTGTTGGTAATTTTCAGTAAAACAAAATTAAAATATTCGATTTCTTCTTATACTTTCCGTATTTCGAATTTACGCGAACTATTCGCAAACACTTGCGATTATAAACAAGACGGCTTAACGCCAAAAACAATCCAAATCTAAGCGGAGGCATTGAGACATGTGTTAGTATGTGTCATGTGTCGGGGTTGCAAATCTGTTTATTTTATTTACATCGCATACATTAACACGGGCCGACCTTGCGCGCGTATAGCGTTGTTGGTAGCCGCCATTTTAGTCGGAACCACTGTTTGATTTTTTTATACACTATTATCGCAAAAATTGTATCTCTTTTTGATGACAAACAGTTTGCTACTGCTGTCAAGGAGCACATTTATAACATAAAATGTAGTTTAGGATCTTAAGATTGATAACATTCTCCTTTTTATGTCAAGTCGTGAAGTACGAAAAAAGCTGCGTTTCGTCGAGCTTATAACCCCAAGCATTACGAGACTGCCTGTCTGCGTGCACGCAGTAAGGTGAGATAAATTTCCATTCTTTAAAAAATCTCAATAACGGAAAAACCTAACCTGTACTTGATTTTGGAAACATAAATCCTAAAACATTGTGTGTCACTGTATAAAACAATTTTTAAAATGTTTAATGGTCGCTCTATAACATGTAAATATCAAATAATAAAGTATAAAAAATGTAGATCCGTTTATTGTAGTGAAATTAAGTTAACTCACTATGAAAAGATTAAGTGACGAACGTAGTGCTTTTCTAGGCTCGAGGTGTTCTCCATTTATACATAATGTATATTTACATAAGAAAAGTATGTGTAAGTTATCCACATTACAAGCTTTCTTAGTTTGAGACTAGATAACGATGTGTACAAAAATATCTCATGAAAAAATTATGAAAAAATTAATAAATATTCGAGGTCATAGACAAAGTTCGGACACGAGAGTCCAGGTAAACCCTTTACCTGGATAGCCAACGGCACGGAATGGCAGCTCCGGTGGTCCGAGCGCAGAGTAACGGTCTGAAATCTGATATAAGATACAGTCTGAACCAACCTTATGTGCTAATGCTATATGGACGTATTTAAACATGTAAATAACCAACGGCCATAGGGTGAAATGGGCGAAAATGCACCTTTTCCGATCTATAAACGAAATTAGAAACGAACTTTTATTGTGGTAGGGCCTCGCAACACTGTTGCACGAATGTGCAGGTCCGTCCGGGTAAGTACCATGACCTCACAGAAGACCGGCGTGAAGTAGTATAACACTACTATTGTTTCTGCATTTCGTCTGCTGAGTGAGGTAGCCGGGGCCCACTTTATTAAAAGGTGGCAACGCATCTGCAACCCTACGGGTGTTGCAAATGTCCATGTGCGGCGGTTATCACTTAACATTAGGTAACCACAACAGGAAACAACAGGTTTATTACATAAACAAAACGAACTCCAAATTTTTTTTAACCGACTCCGCCAGAAGGAGTGTTACGTTTTTCGAGAGAGAGATGTATGTATGTATTTATAATTGTATCTTGTATCTTGTATTAACTGATGCTTTTGCTTTCAGTCCCGAGACTATTAAAGCTTCATCTGACGCAGAACCAGTGGGCTAGCCAGAACCCACGGGTTTGGGTTTTATAATTGTTTGGCACGCTCTGCAGCCTGAACGCCTTGATGGATTTTAGCTTGAGAGGTGTCGTTAGATTCGTATTTACTGTGAGAGTGTCAAAATAAAAACTCACACAGAAAGCAGTCGGGTATTTAGTTTTTTAAATTATATTCTACTTTTTGATGAATAAAGAACCGAAAAATCATAATTTACAGCCTTCTTTCTTCTTTCTTCTTTCTCCTGCTCCTATCCCACCTAGGTTGGGTTCGCAAAACATGCGTATATATTTATTTTTTGTTATTGGTATTGCTGTTTGGGGTTTTAAATGACCGGTCGCCTGTTCGACATCAACCCTCCACGGAAATAAGCGACCAGAAGAATTATCTGTGAGTCACAAAAATATTTGCCCTATGTGGCCATCGAACGCACGACCCGCGGGATAACCATTAATTAGGTTAGCAATTAGTAAAAAGTAAAAGTTAGGTGAATTGAGTTAAGTGAAACTAAAACAATAGCATAGAATTTAATTTATTTATTACAAGTATATTATCATTTACAAAATCTTATCGTATATTAGATATGACCCGCTCGCTAGTTGTTAGTAGTGGTAATAAAATTATTAGTTGTATTAGTAGTGGTATAAATAATAAAAACTACTAAATAATTAACATATAAGTATTTTTAATATTCAACAGAAAGAAAGAGATTTATTTGATATAGCAGACAAAACATTCAAATAATCGTAAAAAACACGGGCATATAACATAAACATCCAATATGTACAATTTTACATTTTGACTATTGTACGTTGTAGGTCATGCCCAAAAAGGAGGTCACTCAGCAAAATGTTAAATGAAGAATACAAAGCTGATTTTCAGGGATGACTCATGAATTAATGAAAATGTAATGTCCCGAGTCTAAAAGAAAAGAAAAAAAAGATTAAATAAAATAATAATGACATAAAAACTAAAATTTTACTTTTAAAACTTTACTTTACAGTGAAAACACAGCAACGTAGAGCTTGAATGTAATAAACAGGATTCATACATGTAAATAGTACCAAGGAATTGTAATGCAAATATTTTGAGTTGCGCTGTGAATGGAATTCGAGAATAAATATAAATTACTCAATTTTCGTTATAAGTTTACAATACAACATAAGGAATGCATTGCGCGTGTAAACTAGAATTATGAAGGCATAGAATGGCTCATTTGACAGCGTATTATTTCGCCAGGGCTGTCAAGTATATAACAAAGATTTTAAAAAAGAGGAGAGAAAAAAATTATTAAAAGGATACTAGTTGATTCGAAACTTTCAGTTCTGTGATCACTTATATTACACCTATATTATTATTTGACCATTTGTTGACTGATCACATATACACAATGTATATTTTATCAATGAAAAGTTAAGCTTTATTGTATGGAGCTTGATATAATATTTTTATCATCTCTTATGCTCAATAGCTAACAACATGATATAAAACACGTATTTTTATTGAACATTTACTTTATTGTACTTTTTTTCATCTCTAGAGACAAAATTATATTTAAAATCGGCATTTGAATCAATAGATGGCACCTTTAAAAAATATTATTACAAGAAAAACCACGTAAATAATTTTGAAATTGTAAATTTTTTCGGAAAATGGTCTCATTAAATCAAACGTCTGAAAATGTAAACGTAATTAGCACTAAGGTAATCACAAAGGAGTTTCATTTCTATTTATAGAAATGCGTTTAATATCACCGAAACGAATCGGTTAACCGTTAATATCGTAACGATCACCGAAACGATAGAGCCGTGGCTGAGCGATTTAGTTACGTACGTTGCGGTAGCCCTACGATAATGCGAGCCACAATTAGGTGCAGGCGATGCACCGCCATTAATCAGATTAAAATAAAAGCAACGGACGCCATTTTGATTTTCCTGTGTGTTCGTCGTAGGATGGAAAATCAACACCATAGTAATTATTTTATGCAATAAGTCTTTATGTATACAAATGCATTCGTTTCTTAATAAACGTTATGACGATGCGCAGTGGTAATAGAAACGTCAGACTTACTTAAGAGGAAAAGATCGTTGACGATTCTGTTTCAAAAATGTCCATAAAATTAATAATTTTAAGTGAAACACGGGGTTTATAGTTTAGTGAGTGACGATAGGTGCAGGTATGAATGAATAAAAATATATTTTACTTATTAATTAAACTAAGTGTATTTATTCGCAACTGCTTGTATATGCCCAAAAAAATTAATTAGCCTAATTTTTATTGCAGGCTTTAAAATTTAAAATATTCTTTTTTGGACATGGTTAGAGCAATCCTCAGACGAATATCCTCTATTCGTCACGGAAAAACCTTACAGTTACAATTAAAGCCTGCAATAGAACGAATGAACGTCAAGATTTTCGAGAGGTCATCGAGATTAGCCTAGTCGGTAAAGCGTCTGGGCGATAAACCAGAAGACGCTGGTTCGACAAAAATTTACAATTGAAAGTCTGAATATTTATAAAATTGGTCACCAGCGATGTTTGAGATATTTAATAACTTAACCACCATCATGGTTGTCAAAATACTTCCGTAGTTTTGTTACTGTTATCGTAGTTGTATTCAAATTAAAATTAGAACATGTAGATAAAGTCGAACCCACGTCTTCGGCGTTCGCGGCCTGACGCTCTAGCCACTGAGCTAAACGAAAATCTTAACGCCTTCATTCTACATTGTTATTTAGAATTTGAAGCAATGCTTGGCGCATCAATTGTTTAATCCATTTTAACATGTATTCAAATGTTAAAATGGAAGAAATATTAGGGTAATCTCACGAAATATTGATTCTATATTAAAAGGCATAAAATATTGTTCTAATTAATGCAAAATATACAACATTACCCCGAACTTAGCGAGATGCTTC